CCACTACCTCTAACAGTAACAATGAGGGCCGCGTCTTCACGCGCAGCAGTTCCAAGTCAAAATTGCGTTCGAGTTCGCGCTCCCGCTCTCGCACGCGTTCCGTCTTTGCGCGCAGTAGATCCAAATCAATACTGCGTTCCAGTTCGCGCTCCCGCTCTCGCACGCGCTCGCGTTCCGTTAAACGTGCGAGCTACGCTGCCATGGCAAGTGGATCTAATGACCGCAGCAGCTTAACCTCCTCGAAGTCGGACACCTCATCCATACAGGGTCTCGAAGATAGACTGAAAAACCAGCAAGAAAAGCTCCAGAATCAGCGCAGCCAACTGCAAAGCCAACAAAGTCTCATAAATAAACTGCTTCAGAGTCAAAAACGACAACAAAAGCTCATTGACAAACTACTTGAAAAGTGCACGCATCAGCAAGGACATTCGGACAATGCAGAACAACAATATCAAGAACAAGCAAACTCAAGCACAGAGCCGGCAACGACGCTGACCAAGGTAGGCGTCCAAGCCCTAGTGAATGCAAGGTGCACGATATTCGAAGAATCTTTCATGAATAACATGCACGCACGATGGAAAAGATTGTCCGGTCTGCAATAGAAAAAACAGCCTCAATGTTTGAACACAAGATCACTACGCTTAATGCCAAAATTGATGGAATTGCTGTGCAAGTCAACAATTTCATCGCGCACGTGAAGAAAACTTACGTAACCATGGCACAGTTCGACAGCTTGAACAACCCACGCCAAATGACTCGGAAGAAGGCACGAGCGAACAGTCACAATGCCTCTCGCTCAGTCTCGCCGAGTCGTGATGGCAGGCGTGACATCGAATCCATTGAAGATAGCAGTCCCTAACCATAAGTATAAGAACCAGTATTCAACTTTACGCATATGGCAATGGAACTGTCGGTCATGCCGCCCTCGACACGCAAGCCTACAAGAATTCATCAAGCCTAACCAACCAGACATCATTGCACTTCAGGAAACCAACACGCAGAACGTACGACTGCAAGGCTACACGACCTGCGCACAAACCCATCGAACTGCCATACTTGTCAAGAAGGCACTTTCAACGCAAAAACACGAAATCGAGGACACTCAAATAGAGCATACCCTAATAGAGATTCTGCCGGAACGAAAGACGCGGCAAAGTCTTTTCATAACCAATATATACAGCCCCCCACGAGACCAACTACCAGACTTCGATCACTTCATACGAGAAATCAGGAAGCGCACAAATGGCCACCAGATCCTAATAATGGGAGACTTTAACGCCTCTCTCACGGCATGGGGCTATCATATCACCACGAGGAAGGGTTCTAGAGTGCACGATACTGCTCAACATCACAGACTAACCCTGTGGAACGACCCTCTTCAGAAGACGAGAATCGGGAACAGCGTCTCCAGGGATACAAATCCAGATCTTACATTTACGGCGAACGTCACTAGAGCAGAGTGCAGTGTGCTACCGGAAACTTTAGGTAGTGATCATCACATCATCCAACTCTCCGTAGCGCACACTCGTAAACAGACCAAGACTGGAATAGCGCGGTTAACAGAATGGCAATTCTTTAGGAATGACCTCGACGTTGAAACCACCATAATCGAAATTGAAGACTGGTTTAAGAATGTGCTCAAAATAGCCGAACGCTACACTAAGGACATACAGCTTGACGTCGGTACACCCGCCATCGACGCGCATCTCCTTCACCTTTGGGAGGCTAGAAGAGGACTTCTAAAATGGTGGAAGCGGCAAAAACTAAACAGAAAGTTACGGAAACGCCTTTCTCTCCTCACCGAGCAAGCTCAAGATTATGCGAACTGATTGGCCAGGCAGAACTGGCATGCTTTCTGTGACAAGCTGCAGGGGACTCTGAGCACAAAGAAAACCTGGCATCTGCTACGCACACTTCTAGCCACGCAACCCTCCAAAGCAGCACAGAAGCAGCACCTTCAGAGGCCTATTCGAAACTACACCGGTACAGAAGAACACCTCCTAGAAGAATTACAAAAGAAGCTCTGTGGCGATGCACCCACTAGGGCTTCAATTCACACCATAGAATACGCTGGCGCACCAAACACTGAACTCGACCAGCCCTTCAGCCTGGCTGAGCTGCACACAGCCTTAACGAAGTTGACAAGAAATACCAGCCCCGGAATAGACAGGATTGTCAACAAGCACTTGCGCAACCTACCGCACCAGGCCACCACGGCTCTTCTCCGTTATTACAACGACTTCTGGGACAAAGGAGAGCTACCCGCGGTATGGAAGCACTCGAAAATCACCATGATCCCTAAGCCTAACAAACCAGTCGGCATCGAGAACCTACGCCCGATTTCTCTCACCACGTGCGTGGAAAAGCTGTTCGAACACATGGTGCACGACCGCTTAACCCAGTACCTGGAAGATAGTGTACACCTACCAGACACCATTTTTGGCTTCAGGCAGCATCTTTCGACGCACGACGTGCTCTAACTACTCAAAGAAGACCTCCTTGATCACCTCACCCATCGAAATATGTACTCCATACTCGATGTTGACGTCAAGGCGGCCTTCGATAACGTCAGCCACGACGCGATCCTCAACAACCTCGAAGGGGTTGGCTGCGGCATTAGAACCTACGCGTATGTCAGAAACTTCCTGACAGACCGTACAGCAACTGTGGGCATATGCAACATCCGCAGCAAAAGCTTCCTACTACCGAAAAAAGGAACGCCGTAGGGTTCGGTCATCTCGCCGTTACTTTTCAATGTGGCTATGATCAATCTGCCAGAAATTCTCGACAAAATACCTGATTTACGGCACGTGATCTACGCTGATGACATCACGCTCTGGACCAGGGCTTAGAACACTGGGAGACAAGAGACCTGCCTACAAACCGCCGTAGATGCCATTGAACGGTATCTCAGAGACTGCGGTCTCTGCTGTGCCCCCAAGAAATCCGAGCTCCTCGTCCTCAAAGCGAGAACAAGAGGCAGACCCCCTCTATACGACGAGCCCGACCCTAGCGTAACGCTGAAAGGGACCTTAATTCCAAAAGTCGAGACCCTGCTAGTGCTTGGAGTTCACATCTATCTACAAGGATGGATCGGGAGCTGCTACCATACCGAGACTCCAACGAACACTATCACAACTCACGCACCTTGTCAAGAGGATCGCGAATCAACGAAACGGACTCAAAGAGCACGACACGCTACGTATAATGCAAGCTCTGTTCACCAGCCGCATTACGTACGGCACGCCGTACCTAAATTTGAAAACCGCTGAAATTGAAAAACTTAATATCATGATAAGAAAGGCCACTAAAGTAGCCCTGGGACTTCCGCCAATGGCCTCTACCACACGTCTCCTAAAGATGGGCGTCCACAACACGTGGCAAGAGCTCATTGAAGCGCATAGGAATAGTCAGCTGGAGAGGCTCAAGCTGACGCCCACGGGGAGGTCGGTGCTCCGGTACCTCAACTACAGCGACACGTTCATCGCCGATGCGCGCATCCCTCTGTACATTAGAGAGTCGCTGTCCATCGCACCTATTCCACGCAACATGCATCCTACTTTCCACAAAAGTAGACGTAAGGCTAGAGCTAACGCTATTCAACGAAAGTTCAAGCAAGACCCGGACGCCCGCTACACTGACGCAGCCAAGTATCCGCATAGAAACGCGTACGCTGTCAGCGTCGTCGATTCTCAAGGCCGAGAATCAGCGTCAGCCACAGTCAACGCACTCAATTCAGACGCCGCAGAAGAATCGGCAATCGCTCTAGCAACAACAACATGTGCAGATGCCGCGGTGATTTTCACCGACTCACAAGCCGCCTGCAGGAGTTTTGCTAAGGGCCATATCTCAGCCAATGCCATCAATATTTTGAAACGGCGAAGCACTCCACTCCCATACACTTGTGTATTGTGGGTGCCAGGACACGAAGGTCTGCAGGGAAATGAAGCGGCCCACGCAGCTGCTCGCGAGCACGTCAGCCGGGCTGCCCCCTGCCCACAGGGCATTCGATCCGTCGTTGAAGAGACGGAAGTTGTTCAAAACACCTACTCGTCGTTACTCCAGCATTACAGGCTGGAGTGACGAGTATACCCTCCACCACACCCAAAACTTACAAAAGAGGAAAGCGTAATACTGAGACGCCTGCAAAGCAGCACATACACACATGGGGCCCTAATGCATCGTCTCTACCCAACGAGATATAGCTCTATTTGTCTGCTTTGCAACGTACCGGACGCCCTGGCGCACTTGCTTCTTGCATGTCAGTGTATTGCCAGACGTAATCTGCAACAACACACGACTGATAACGAAGCAGGACGCACGAACGAAGACCTAACCGAAACGTGGGAGGCGAAGCTTGCCCTCGAGGACCTGGAAGAGTAACAACAACTCGTCGCCAGGGCCAAGAGGGCAGTAGAAGCCAGAGGGTTCCTGGACTAAGGAGCCCTCCCACCTCAGGGTGACATCGGGCATTGCTCGGAACACCGTTTCGAAATAAACGTTTACTTCTCTCTCTCTCTGCGGCTCTATGCTGCATGTCTGATTGCAAAGAAAGATATGCAGTTGGGCTTTCATTTTCAAAGGGCCCATAAACTCTATAGATCTAAATTAAGTCGTGGCCAGCACTTGTGCACTGTTCTACAGCCAACGCGTTCGTCGGCTCCTCTGGCTGCCTCTCTGACTGCCCTTTCTCAAGATTCGAAGTGAAAACGCAAGCACCACACGCGTGTGCCACAGCAGAGGAGCACGTGAGCGCTCGCGTCTGTTGATGGTTTAAGGGCATGGTACTTTGTTTTTGTCCCACAGGTTTTTCTGCTCAAGGGCACGGAACAATTTAGGGTAATGGTATACAGCTTCGCCGTAAAAACCATCATCACGTGATGAATTTGCTATATGGCGTCATTGTGATTTCACACATATCCAACATTCGTGCAGCTATCATGCGCCACTATGACCTCACATCACGTGACGTCAGATGACTGCGTCATCACATGACGTCGCTAAATCAGGTGGAGAAACCTCCGAAGGTCCTGGAGGCAGTACAAAACCACGTAATGTGCTGAAAGTTTTCGGAGGTTAGTGGGGCAGGAATAACTCATCGAGTGAAAGGAAAAAAAGAAGATGACTTACACCTTCTAGTCGTTTTAGATTAATGCATAAGTGATTCTGTGAGTTTTGAAACACGTCTCACAAAGTACTTGAAAGAAGGTCTCTATTATTACTGAACGCCTTAAAACACTCAATTGGCCTCTAATTGAGTTCAAGCATTCAGTCAACAGTATTTAAATTCTATCGCGCCAAGTATTAAGCTAAAATGGCAGAAAAGGGCATTGGACCATTTTAAACTACCTCATGCAAAGCTGGCAGCTATTGCGGGTGTAAAGTTAGCGTTTGCATGAGGTTGGCGTACCAAGCATGCGCAACGTAAACTCAAAGCTTTGCATGAATCTGGTATAAAACTCTCTTTAAACATAACTGGCACGCGTACCAATATAACGGAAGCGACATTCTGAGTAAGCTAATCACGTAACGTTTCTGTACTTTGTTAAAATTAGGATAGTTTACTGTGGCTGTATTTTCGAGCCTATGTGTTCTGCATGCTTGGCTGCTTGCATTAAATTGTCGAATTATGTGATCATAGCACCTACACCTCAGGTGTTTTCGACGAAGTAAAAACCTGAACGTTGACTCGTCACGCCGTAGTAGGTAGGTTTTCAAGAATCTTACCTGGCTGTATTTTGACCATCGCTGCGAACTGATCATCGCTTCAAAGAGGGCGAAGAAATGCACACTTCTCTTGAAGAACAGGAAGCACTCTCCTCCGGGAGCCATGAGTCTCTCGATATTGCTCAAACACCGATGCTGGTCACGCATCCAGTGTAAAGTGAGGAAAGAGTAAACTCGCTGGAACTGTCCTTGTTCACGCTTAAACTCCTCCACGTCTTGCACAATGTCGAGCACGAGGTATACAATCTTCGTGTGTGGGTAATTTTTGGCCGCAAACTTCAGCATTGCAGAGGATTTGTCAACGGCCACGAGCCTTCTGCATGGTGGGCAGTGTGGGAGCAGGCACCTGCGATCGACGGACAATTAACGACACTGTCTCTGTGAACCGGGTACTAAAGCATGAACAAAGCCGCCTGCTTTACTCGTGCTACTTTCATTCTAGTACTTTTTAGTAGAGCGAGCTTCGATAAACTTCTCTATTGTTCTTTTTTTTCAGGGATCTTCGTTGTTGCATTAAGGTCGTTTTCTGAATATTCATCAATATATCTTCTGAAAACAAAAAAAAAACCAATTCCTTGCCGTTCAACTTAAGAGTTATATCAGATGCATATGGTATAGCAACCTAAGGCTTCTAGAAAATAAGGGCCAGTTCACTATGAAGACAGGTAATGAAAACTGATGGATAGAGTTAATTGAGCATTGTAACTAGCTGGGATCTTTGCGACACCTCGCGAAGCGGCTATCAACCACACACCCTTTTTTTATCAGTGGCCTTTGAGATACGCTATGGTGGCAACAAGAAACACAAAATAATCTAATGAGTATCGCAGGGAACGCGAACGCGAACGTGTGAGTGCTTTCCAGATAGCTTACTGAAGCATTAGGACGACACCTACATTTTTAGTGAGCTTTATATACATTTCGTTGGTGTATCTGTAATATAGTGAAAAATGTGAATTCATTTTAGGTGTAAAGATGGGCCGTCGTCGACAGAAGAAATTTCACTTGAAAACTAGGGTGAATACATTTGCTGGCGTGGATCGACAGTCGACATCCAGGACAACCTTTGTGACCATTTGGCTACCATTTTTCTGCTAAGGTGAACTAAAGTGCGTTACTTTGTTCTGGGCTACTATGTTATCGCTTTTCCTAGTTACTAAGCTGCCCACCACTTGAGATATTGTGATCGAGAACCACGACGTGTGTTTTTGTTTCTATTTGATTTTTTTGTTTCCATACTTTATATTTTAACCACTTTCATCATCTATGCAAATAGCCTTGTGGGGAAATATAGGTACATTAATAAACGAAGCCTCGTCACAAAGTCAAAATTAAGGAGTCGTCATTCCTTCAATTTTATGTGCATTGCAGAAGCAGCGCCTAAAGTTCAATACCGCTCTCAGAGCCTTGCAATCTTTACCAGCTTATGGCATGCGTTCTTGGAGTTTTTTTTTGTTCAGTATACTGTAGCAGCCTTACACGTTACGGCACTCAGAAACCATGATTCACCATGATTTATGTCGCACATAAATTGACATTCTTAATTTTTAGCAAAGTACCCCGAACTTTTGTTTCTATTCCACACATTCATGATATTCGTGTTCTACATGTACACGAGATCATTATAAGAAGGCTTTAAAATGACAGCCCACGCAGTTAACCATTTTGAAGTGAGATAGCCAGTTATTTTTTCGAAACGACGGAAACGATAAAAGCCACACCACGCCTAGTTCCTCAGCCAATCTAAAATTCTAATTACAGTGAGTCTAAGTGGCGCAAAACTCTTCGTTGTGGAATACATGAAGTGCGCGGTGACTTTTAGCCACGTTTGAATAACGCCTTCCTCGAACTCGTGCATGTAATTTGTCATTCGAGACTTCTCGGCTTCGTCCTACTCCGTTTAAAGAGGAAAATGAACATATCAATGTTTTAGCGTTTCCAGGGCATCACTTTTATGAGGGTAATGCTTCTTATGAACTTGCATGACACAGATAGAGTATGACGACGTTGTTTACTGCTCTACGCCTTGGCTACCTGTCGCCACATGGTTGTCAGCGCAACATCACACATACTGATAAAGTATCGCTGTTATAATCTGTACACTTCAACTTTGATCATGTATGGTTGGGTTTACGTTTTTGAAGATTGTTCTGTTTACTTGCGGCTGTTAGCTTCATAAAACCACATTGAAAAAATGCTGGAATGATAAATTTGCAACTAGTCCTAGCATAAAATCTCACCACGTTATGTTTGGAGCAACATGTTTTCATGGAGCTGACCGACAATCTTTTTAGCAGTCAAAAAAGACAGGGCATTCTGAGCGCTCGAATATTGCTTTGACACAGTTTTTATGCTAACAAGCACATGATGAAGCCAAGAAAGGTAGATAAAACGCTAATAGTACTATTTGAACAGTATTGTAGTAATTATGACGTGGATGTGCAAAAAAGTCAAATGGACAAAAATGCAACTTGTAGCTGGCAGAAACTGAATTCGCAATGTTCGTATTATGCACCCGATGCTCTTGCCAGCTTGCTCGTTTACCTGTCAGATGTTTATATGCACGCGAAGTCTTCCGAAACGACACCGTTGCTAAATTGAATAAGGTAAGGAAAATCTGAGGGCACGATTCTTTGACACAACCTCACCTATTGGTTGTAGGCTCAGCTCCTGCCTGCAGCAAGTAGCATTTTTGTCGAATTCACTTTATTCCCATCTATATCGTTACTACAATTACAATAAAACATCAAAATTAACGTCTGTTTACCTTCCTTGGCTTGTCCATCTCAAGCAACAGTGGCTAGGATGCTCGACTTCTGATTCGAAAGTTATGTGTTCGATCCTGGCCGCACCGCCCGCATTTCGATGGAGGTGAAATGGTACAGACCCATATTCTTTGTGATAACGCTAGACAGTTGAAACTTCCGCAGCCCTCCACTTTCATAATCACATCGTGATTTTGCGACGTACAACACCAGATAATAATATTATTCCTTAGCTTCATTTTCTGCTGTCTTTCAAATCGAATAGATATATAAAAATAACTGTTGAAACGTTTTCGTACGTTCTTTTGCCATAACTACGCAAGTGTGTATAGTTTTGCGCCAATTCACTTACTCAGCTGTCAGTCGTCCGGAACCACATCCTATGTCCAGGAACTGTTGGTTTTTATCTTTGCTAGGTGCAAACGCCTTGTGAAACGTGTCCAGTAGACCAGCCACGATTCCAACGTGTCCCTGGCAGTTGAGATCGTACAATTCGACTCTCTCATTTCCTTGGGATGATCCTGATTCTGCTTGCGCAATCTGTTCTGGGTAGTGGGCCATTCTGCAGATATTTTGGCACACAATCAGGGCTTCCCCATTCTCGTCAGTAAATGTTGGTCCTAAGCTTCTCATGCGCTGACGCACTATTATGCGCAAATATGGGAGCCGATAGCTTCGTTAAAGAAACAAAAGTTTGGAAGGACGTCAGGTTCAATCTTATTCATTTTTTTCTCGTTTCAGTTAACAAAATTAAGATACTGAATGAGTTCACTAAAAAATCCGCACTTAATAAAACAACACGTTTCCAGGAGAAATCACTGCTATCAAACGGCATCCATTAAATAACGCAATCCTAACGTTGTCCTTTTTGATAACCTATATCTCTAAGTGTAGTGGCGAAGGTCACGCTGAAACTGCTTTACCTTTCGGTATGTGTTTAATTTATTAGAAGTATGTCTCGAAGTATTCACACCATTGAAAGGCTATGATATCCTTTCGGGCAACAGAAAGCGAGGCAAAAAAGGGCATTCTCAATAATGCTGATCCTTCAACAAAGGTTCAGAACAATACGTAAAGGGCCTTATTGGACAGCACTTGGCGTCGATACGCAATTGCGGCAAACAAGAAAGAGTATGTACTCACAGCCCGAGCAGCGTTCTTTCACGAAGGAGCCAAATATGACGCCTCAGGAGAAAGCGCTGGAAGGGACGACCAGTTATAGAGCTCTAAAGCTTTACCACAATAACCCCGCGTAGAAAAAGCGAGACGCCCAGAAACATATTAGTTTGTCACCATGAATGGGTGATGGCAGGCCAAGAGCTCCTCCACACTAAAATGTCACGCCCTCGACGGTGCACGCTTTTAGATAGTTTTGTGGGACCATCAGGTGACCAGTCAGGGATGTGTGTTCGATGACGTGGTAGGGGCTTTCGTATTTCGCAGTAGCTTCGAAGATAGTTCCAACGAAGTTTCAAGAACTGAGAGTCATACGAGCGCTTCAGGGCAAAAAAAAGTCGGCGCGGAAATGGCGTAGTGTCCGAACTAATGCTCTTCCGCCGCTTTTGTTCATGCGTTGTAAAGGTCTTGGCAAGCTCACAACGCTTTTCAGCAAATCTGGCAGTAGTACATAGATCCGGCTTGTATGGAAGGATCACGTCGATTTTGTGCGGTGATTACACGACGTGCAATCAGAAAAAGACTAAAAAAACAGTATTTCTCTGGGGGCGGTATCGTAAGTGCCCGTGCTGAAAGGCAGAATAGCTTACCAATCCTTGTGTTCAGTGGTGACGTATATAGAGAGCATGATTGTCGCTGAGCTTATTTTTAAACCATTCGGAGAAGCTATTCGTCTGCCGTTGGTAAGCAGCAACTTTTTGGTGAACAGCACGGAAGTGTTTGAGAATTGCATCGAGGACTTAACGACAAAAGTGATTTCTAGGCAGTACCGGGAGGGGGGGAGGAGGCATGAGCCACTGGAAGGGCCGTGTTATTGTCACATTATTATTATATTATTATTGTCATTATTATTATTGTCACATTATTATTATTTATGTCACATTGACATATCTACTCCTATACTGAAAAAGCAGAAACCGCAAGCTCTGTGGCTCAAGCTGCGTTCACTTCTAATAAAGCAGCTTCGTAAAAAAATGTGATTTCACGAGTCATCAGTCTAACCGTTATTATTTTATTCTTAGTGGAAGAGGGGCTGTGTGCCATGACAATGCCCTACGTGATTTGGCTTCGGTGCACAGTGCATGTCACTTCAAAATGTATTACATCTAGCAGCTCCACCAGCTGTGTATGCAATGCTACATACATGTACGTTGAAATGAGCAACATTTGCAACATACATTTCTAATACTTGTGTCCATGTGCTTCGAGTTGTCGATGAATACACCCTCGCGCTGTCAAATGCTAGCTTCCTGGTTAGCTCCATTGGCAGAGAGACCATCCCAGATAGGTGTTGGTCCTGGTTCAAACGACGTACCAGGACAAATTTTTCGGCATCTGAGAGGCTTTCTTTCTGAGAAATTCGCAAGAATTTCTTTGTGGCTTCGTGCTACAAACGGGTGGTTGCCTTATTTCTCTTTTATAAATGTATGTTCAGAACAAGGATTCACTGTGTTGTTCACCATTTATAACATTATCCGGTTCACACGTGAAATTGTACTGCACTGACTTGCGTACATGCAAATACCTGGTTCACTTGGATGCTCCTAATGCAATTGGAGATTAAGATCTCAAGTGCCTAAATACCACTAAATAATTGGCCTCAGAAGGCTTGATTTATTGGCCTTGAAAGTGTGATGTGAAGAAGTTGCAAAGTAATACCATTACGCTCATGTTGCTTCAAATGCGCAACTTTCTCGAAAATAGTCATGAAGCTAATTTCGTAGAAATAACCGGTAAGTTCATTCAATGGCCTTACTCGCTAAAGAAGTGAAACACGTGGCACCCATTTCCAGTTCCGATTCTGGTGGCAGTTTCGTAACTTTTTCCTAAATAATTTACATTATAGTGAACATGAAATGTGTCCGTGATGTAGCTTGTTTTCTTATAAATAGTCAACAATAGGCATACTACTTGCCGAAAGACATTATTTTCGCATCATAAATGAGCTCCTCAAAACACGAAGTAAGAACGAAGGCACCCATTCAACGACGAATGCGTTTCGCCGCTACAACGCTCTTCAGATATAAAGTATTTCTAATTAGCGTCACTGTAGACGTGCAAACGTTATAACTCAATTTGGCAGAATGAAATGAAGTTAACTATCAATTGTCTGAAACAAAAAAAAGAAAAAAAGTATTTCAGGCAGTGTTGCTTTTCCGGATACTTTGTGTGACTGTTCTTTTTCTTGCCTCATCAAAATGCATTAGGTTTATAAAGTGTAAACACTTTCTCAGAAACTCTCAGCCCGTGTCTGCATGTCGACACACCAAGGAACATGCTTTTACTCCATTCTAATCGTAGCAGTATCTTCTCAAGGACCAGATTCATTTCAAGAAATGTCGTTTCATGAGTTCTTAAGTCGCATTTATTCTCTCATCTAAATTTATTGGACAAGTATTCAGTTCCCCCTCGAAACAGAGGCTCATTGTCGCTTTCGGATGTTCTCGTAACCTGAAAATAAAACTGTAGACACACCTACCTTAACTGATATCCTCAGTTCACTGCAGACTACCCGAAAGTCCGCGATAAATCAGTAGTAAAGCCAGTAATGTGAAGCGCCGCAATCTAATGCAGCACAGAACTGAAAAAAAACAATATATTTAGCAATCTCGCCAAACATGGTTACCCAATATTTTTTATTTAAACCAAAAACACAACAATGCAATCTTAGAAATGCAGCTACAGTATTCCCCCTATCAACAGCCTATCAGCAAGATCTCACTCTCCGTTGTCCGAGGCACCAGCGAAGCCATCGCCCGTTTGAAGCGAACTCGGGCGACGTGCCATTCGTGGCAGGCTGAGTTGGGTGATAGTTAGAACGTAAGTGGCCCGTCCTTTTTCGCGGTGGCCACACTAACTCGAACTCCGAAACAGGAGGGGTAAAGGCCGAGCTAAGGCCAGTTCTAAACCAAAAACGACGCTGCACACACGTCTTCAAACTGAAAACACATGTTCGAAGAACTGCTTGCTAAAAAATGGGCCCGAATCTACATGTTACACTGTAAATGTCGTCGAAAGACGATAGTCTTGCCGATAGTTATAGCGCGAGAACAAAACGACGACACAGAGACAAGAAGAAGACGAAGGACACCTGCGCTAACTTCCAACTGAGTTTATTGCGCAGAGCGCAAAAGTATACAGAGGAAACAGTAACCATGGCACAAAAATCATATGGCAAAAAGAGCGAAACATGAGTAAGAGGAAAAACGAAAAAAAAAACAGAAGCACAGAAAAAGGCAAAGAAAGTCTATAAGGAAACGAAACAGAAAAGCAAAGGTAATAGTTTAATGCGCAGAGCGCAAAAGTATACAGAGGAAACAGTAACCATGTGACAAAAACCACATGGCACAAAGAGCAAAACATGAGTAAGAGGAAAAAAGAAAAAAAACAGAAGCACAGAAACAGGCAAAGAAAGTATATAAGGAAACGAAACAGAAAAGTAAAGGTAATATAACTACTTGCACGCAGCAAAACCTTCGAGGAACCTTAGTTCCTTCTCGGACAGAGACACAGAGGGCTTGCTAATACATGACACCTCTTCGCGTGCCATCAGCGCAGCCTCGACAATGACTCGGGTATTCTCATCCTTGTGCTTGTACAGCGTCGCTGTGTCCATGACAAGGGGCACACAGTTGCCCTCAGTGCAGTGCTGATCAAAAAACCCTCTTTCCCGTTTCTGACACTGTTAGCGTTTTCTCAAAGTCGATCGTTCAGACACCTTCCGGTCGTCCCGACATAACAAGCACCGCATGAGAGAGGGTCCTATAGACAACTTCCCGGGAGCATGCCGCATACCTGTTTCTATGCTGAACTCTGCATTCCGTTGATGACTGCGTTTTCAGTGGGTTTCTAGATTTGGTGAGGCTGATTAATTTGAACGGTGCAGAGAACAGAACACGAACTCGATTACGTTTTCCGATTTCCTTGAGCCTGTGTGATATCTGGTGTTTCTATGGAGTCACGGCTATCCTTTCACGCTCTGTATCCGTGTTGCTCGGATTCTGTCGCTGCCTCTGCTCTGCCTTATTAGTTCGCAGGATAGTCTCAACAACGAAAGCGATAAACGCCTCCGGGAAAGCCGAAGCCTTAAGTCGGGAAACTTGAGCTTTGAAGCTCGGAGAGATGTTGTGGACGCACGACTTACTTAAGGCATTCTCCCAGACAGGTTCGTGCTATGCCTCGCTTAACAAACTTGCTGTGAGCGGAAGAAAAGGGAAGTAAAGGTTTCTGCGCACGTGGTTCATAACGCCAACAGATGGGCTGTGAGCTAAAAAACAGTCTTAAATTCAGAAAGCAGAACTTGTCATTCTCGGGCAGTTATGCTTTTGGATTTGGATGGCTATGTGGGGTTTAACGTCCCAAAACCACCACATTATTATAAGAGA